TTGTGGGCTACCTTCTTAGTATAAATGCCTTTCTTGATATGAATTTTTCTTGTACATATGGGTGTCACTAGTTTTGCTTCTCCAGAAAACTCCATTTAATATAGTCTCATGGGAGATTTTACATGATAATGCATGACAAGTTTCCAAATGATACCGATAATGAGAAAACAATCTCCTCTTTCTTTCAAGTAGGTGACCTTAGAAGCTTTTACACTTGCTGAAAATACATTTGGTGATACAAGCAACACATTCTATAAATGACAAAACAATGGACCCTTACTCCCATCCATTCAATAAGGATGCTCAAAGGGTTTTAAACATCATCAAGGAGCATATCTTGTTAACATAACAGATCTGTCCATTCTGGAAATTAGCAAATCATTTGTAGTTGCCCCCATTCAGGACATGAACTTAAATGTTTTGCCTGGTTTCCGAGTACACTTAATTTTACAAGGAGGTAACACATTCTGTGAATGAGAAAAGAACATACTGCTTGTGGCATTCAAGTAGATTCTCAATGTGCACAAGATTACCTTAGACATCACGGGGAGCTTTTGATTTCAATGTCCTTGAATGCAAGGACTGTACACTATTTTCTCATCTTCATTTCCGTAACTTCACGCTGTTATTCTCATGCTTACAACACAATGTAAGTAAAGACCCATTTTGACACCCAACCTTACTTATTTTTTCCTACATAAAATGTGCTTGGGACATTCTCATACTTGAGAATATAGGTTACTTAGGAGATATGTGAAAATCCTTTTCATTATGTGAAAGGAAGAATGAACAAATTGTTGTCTCATTCCATGGATATAGTGAGAAGTTTACAAACACTAGAATTCATCAATTTTGAAACCTGGTAAAATGCTTCTGAATTTCATTCAATTGCATTCGAGAATCTGCACATTGTTTCCTCATACATAGATAGAATCTCTTTGGCACAACCTTGTGTTATTACATACTACACATAAGGTAGGTTCAGAATATGTACAATTCTTTTAATTCATATAGTTAATATTTTGAATTCCCAGATTGTATCGATTATCTTTCCCCCCAGATTGTATTGCTATCCAGATGTCTACTTTGACATGATGCAAGCCTTCTGATTTTATGTTCATGCCAATGTTCCATGATTTTCCCTTTCAAGTATATATAATGGTCAGGGAGTTTTACACATGTTCAAAATATACTTTATGGTACAAGCATGGGAAAGTTCCCAGTACACACCATGCATGAAGACAATGTGCATTTTCTTCCATTACAGTACTTCAAATGAGCATTACTTCTCAAGGAACATTGTATTTCACCCACACGGAATTATCAATATATCCTGCAAATGCAAAATCAGTGATGTCCCAAGTAGATGTCAGAATACTTTGTGCCAGCAATTTGGGGAACGTTCCCAATACATTCTAGGAGTTAGAAAACAATTTTATCTTTCTCCCTTTTAAGTACATGCAGTCAAAGAGTTTTACTTGTTATCAAAGCATACTTTGAGTTAGTAACACCTGAAAGAATGCAAAGCAGTCTATGAGTGACAAAGTAACATGCATGTTCTTTTACTCAAGAACAAGAGTCAAAAGACTCTTGCAAGGTCTGAGAGTAGATATCGACAATGCATGGAAATTTCTTAATACACTCTAGGAAATGTGAAAATGATCTGCTTTCATTCAAGTATGTGACCTTAACAGAATTACAAGACATTTTGAAAGTACATTTGGTGTTACAAGAAATGATTTCTGGAAATGAGAAAGCAATGGACTCTTACTGCCATTCAAGTAAGGAAGTTCAAAGAGTACATCATCCGCGAACACATCGTGTAACCATGCTGGGAACCCATGCTCTCAGTCATTCTGTGAGTCAGAAAATGATATACAGTTTCTCCCATTCAAGGATATGAACTCAAACTGGTTTTCCTGGTGTCCAAGTAGACTTTGTTTTATAAGAACATTCTCAATACATTCTGTGAATGAGAAAACAATGTACTGTTTTCTCCAAGTACAGAAATACAAGTACGGAAATTCTAAGTGTGCAGTTTATTTTGACGCCATAGAAAACTCTTTTTACCTCATGCATTTGAATACCGGAATGCTTCTTGGAAGCTGGCATGGCAAGACTTCAGCTCGTATACTTTAGATATGTTACCATAAAAAGGACATCAGTAAAGAAGACCAGGTGGAATGACACGGTGGCTGCTGTGAGCTCCAGCCCAGCAATGATTTCAAGAAAGGCTGTTTTGTTCTGTTCTAGTAAGGGTGGCAGAGAACAGATTAGACAACATCTAACAGCAAGGGCTAATGATCATATATTTTCAAGTGTTTGTTGGTAGTCTGAATATCCCCTTTAGAGAAGCATCTGCTCATGTCCCTTGCCCACTTTAAAAATTGGGTTGTCTTTTTGTTCAGATTTTCTATATATTTTAGAGATTAAACCCTTACATGTGGTTTCCAGAGATGTTTTTTTTCACTCTATAGTTTTGCTTCCTACTCTTTTCATAGTGCTATGATATGCTTAAGTATTTTTGAAGTCCCAGCTATCTAACTTGACCTCTGATGTTCATGTATTAATAGTTGTAGTTGATAATTCATTTTTTAAAACAATCAGTTCTCAAGAGTTTTGACCCTGTTTCCTTCGAAGAACTTTATAGTTTCAGCTGTAAGATTTGGGTCTTTGATCCACCTTGAGTTACTTTTAGGGTATGGTGTGAGCTATGAGTCCAATTTCATTTTTCTCCATGTTCATGAAAGGTAGAAAGGTTAGGGTTAAAGAGGATTGTCTCTACGGAATGCCTACACTAAACGAAAATTAGCTGGCCGTGCCATAAAAAAGGGGCTGCAAGGAAATCAGGCACACATTAGACACCTATGGGGACAATCCAAAGCTGAGCATGCGCAGAACCAGGTCACCTAGGCCCAGGGGGAGGTCAACCTGGCACACCCACACTAGGCACCAGCGACATTATGTCACACATGTGCCTCAACTCAGCCACTAACTCCCTCCTCCCTCCCCACCGCTGCCCGTCCCCCAAGCCTGTGGGGGTAGCAGGTACAAATAGCAGACGGCGGGCAGGCGGCATCTCTTTCTCTTTCAGGTCGGGCTGTGGGATTTTTCCTGTGTACACACGCAGTGTGCTGCGGGCTTTCTTTTCAGTTCAGGCACTCTTTTGCCTCTGTGATTCTTCTTTCTTTTTTTTAGCAGTCGCGCGTTCCTGTGGATTCTTCTGAAAGGCCATTTTTCCTTGTGGTTTTTTCATGCTCCCCTGAAGCAGCCATTTTCAGTTTTGAAATTTCCCACAGCCCCCACCCTGGGGCCTTGCACGCTTTCCAGATTGCGTGTACCATCTGAGACTATACTGCCCGAAACCACCCTTTCCCAAATAAAGGTTACGTGGATTTACAAAAGTGTGCCTGCCGCGTGAATTCTTTCAGCATTCAGAAGAACTGAGGTAAACCATCCCAGTTTTGCCAACACCATTGTTAAAGAGCCCATCTCTCCCACCCCTCCACTGAAATGAATACTTGTAATTTTTAAAAGTTAGACCTTAAAAAATTTGACTGTTTCTGGTTATAGCTGATCCCTCCTCTTCTGGGATCTATACAGGGCAAGAGTGGGATATACGGTTTAACCTGAAGGACAGGATTCCTTTCATGCTTTTACAATTCACTGGAAGACACTGAGCAAATCATTTAATCTTTTGGAGCCTCTTTTCTCAGATCCACGGTTTTTCATTTCTACAATAGTCATTCTTACACATGCAACATGACTCGCTGGGAGGGGAATAAGGTCCACAAAAAACTCAGTTCTCTGGTAGCTGGCTATCATTTCTTTGGGAAACTAGGCAATCAGTGTTTGCCAGTCCTGAGCCAAGTACCGGGAGAAGAAAAGCAGCACACACTCCTGGGTGAGCTCCAAATCTGGCCGATAGAGAAAATCGTACCTGGCTCCCTGAGGAAATTGGTTCTAAGAATGTTCGTCTATACTGACTGGATGGCAGGTGCAGCCGAAGATCTCTCTTCATGTCATGGCCCACAAAACCACACCAACACATGGTTTTTGAGAATGTTATTCCACACATCAGCCCCCACTCCTGGCATAGTTTAGAAATACTTGTAGAGAATTAGTTAAGGAAAAGGGAACGTGAGAAGGCACTTCAAGAACAACCAATGTACTCCATAACCTGGCTGTCAAATCCGTTCTTGCAGAATAGCCCTGCCCCTGAGCCCCAGGAAGGAACATGTGGGACCCCTGGGGAAGATGTGGTGAGTGGGGCAGGGGAGTTAGCGTCTGTTAGGACTCAGGCTAAAGGAAGGAGGGAAAAAACATTTCCATTTGATCTAGGTTTCTTCACAAAGGACACTACAGGAAGCCACAGATAAATCCAAAATGTGGGACATTCTACAAAACAAATTACTTGGTTTTTGTGGCTGACCAATGTAGAAACAACGTGGCACTGACTACTCAAGAGCACTGCACTTTGAAACCAAGAAAACCAATCACTGGATGGCCCCGGCTTGGATGCGAGTCCAAGTCAACCACTGCGGGGCTATTTCTGAGATGTCTGTTAGATTTGACTACAGGCGGAGTTCCACCTGAATCTTAACCCCCCACCCCCACCAAAGTGTTCATTTTGTTACAGGTGATAGTATATATTGAGGTTATAGAAGGAAACATCTCATCGTTTCCCCCAAAATACCTACCTAAATAGGGAGGGTCAAATTATGTAAAATCTTACTTTAAAACACATTTACAAAGAGAAAAATGACGCAAATGCGACAAAATCTTGATAATTACGGAATATGGGTGGTTGATACTGGAGGTTTTTTCCTATCATTTTCTGAATCTATGATTTTAAAATTTCATAATTAAAAATCTAAGAGACAAGGCTATAGCTGTTTTCTCCAGACCTCAGAAGTAATGGAGACAATGGCTTGACCTATTCTTTTCAGCAACAAATGCTTGATAATCACATATAATCATCACAAGTTTTGTTTCCAAAATTGGAAAACTTCACCTCTTCAGTTTATTTAGTGGGTTACAATCCATTTTGTCAAAAAACCTTTACTGGGCTGAAAAACTTTCTAAAAGGAAGGGAAAAAATAATGGGGGAGGAGGAGAGAGAGAAGAAAACGAGAAAGTGCTGTGACAAGTTCCTTGCACAACGTGAAGTAGAGCCTGTATGCAACTTCCCAGGTAACAGAGTAAGTCCTGGGCTTTGTGTCGGGGAGCGCAACACATTCTGATAAGATGGGTGCAAGCCCAGCCTCTAGGACAGAAGTTTTAAATTGTGGTCACAGACCTGTGGCACAAACTTTTGAATGTGCATAGGCAGTTTTCTAGAAAGACAGTTAAGTATTATTCAGCTTTCTTCAGCTTCTCAAAGAGATCCATGTTCGAAAAATGGTTAAATTTCATGATCTCACTTAACGGGGGAAAAAACTGACTACAAAGCTTTCACAAAACTGTCACAAAAAAATATTTTTATTTGTGAACAACTGATAACTTTGGAAATGCTCATTAGATTAAAAATAAGACAAAAACAAACGCAGAAATACCATCAACTCCACTATCTAAAAACCTAGTCCTGAACATAGGACACATGCTGTGTCCATAGTTAGCTCTAATTCTACCACCTCTTACCTCCACTCCAACAGCTCAACTGCCAAGGGCATGACCAAGTGCCAGAGAGCAGGCTGTTCAACTATCACAACCCAAACCAATTTCCACAAGCATTAAGAGAATGAGAGTCTCTGTTGCTAGGATAAAGTCCCTCTCGGGGAGATGGTAATGCGAAGTAGAGGATAGGTAGCATAGATACACAAATATTTGTTTTCCCTGGCTGTGACCAAAATCAGCAAGAGAGAAAACAGAACTTCCATCCCCCAAGTCTTCTCATACCCAGTGATAACACACCAAGTCAATGGGTGGGAACTGGGTTGGAATCACTTAATGTAACAATCATCTTACACATTGCTCTCCTCATCATAGGACATAGGGCGTCTTCTGCAGGAACATGCCTCTAGGCCACGAGATGAATCGTTGATGGCTACACATGTTCTCATCCTTTAGGCTAGGGCAGACAGAAATCTCTCACCAGAACACCAGCTGCTCTTTTACAAGCTGCCAGGTGGAAGGACAACTGTATCACTCGGTTTAGCTGTGGAGTCTTCACGTGGTGGATGAAGCAGAAGACTGAAGAGTTACTTTCTGTAGGTCTTCTCCGACTGCTTCCCCTTCACATGATTTTTACTCATCTCAATTCCGAGGTTTGAATGAACGACATTTACTTGCAGTGAGGACAAGAACCCCCAATGAAAGGAGTAACTGCCTATGCAGAATAAAGATCTCTTCTCTCACAGATGATGCCGTTCTCTGTGAAGAGCTGTATTCCCATCAACGACGCAGTCTCAGAAAGAATGCATGTTTACATTCCTTACTCTCCAAGGGGTAATATTTATCATAAAAATCTAAGACATATTCTTCAGTCTTGAATCCAAATTTCTGATACAGCAGCATAGCAGCGTTGCTTGCTGAAACGTGAAGGGTCACATCCTTACCCATGCAGGTCTGCCAAGAGAATGGACAAGTACTAAATGAACAGGCCTGAATGGAAAATGAGGAGCTGAAGAACTTTCCCGAGTGGAGGTAGTTAGTTATGGAAATCAAAGAAATTGGGGACTGGGGCTTAGCAACACCTGGAAATCCAATGACATTTGCTTCTTACCAGAACACTCCTAAGACTGAGGTACCTGATGGCATTTTGGATAGTTTTATTCCTCTGAAGTGATGGGCCAAGAGAAATTATCTGTCAACTTTGTTTTTTATTTATAACTCAATTATATTTAAATATATTAAGCATGTAATATCAAACACAACAAACTTGAAGAATAAAGAACAAGAAGTTCTATTTTTTTAAAAACTGAAGGATGATCGCCAAATTCCTTATAAGCTACTGGCACCCAAACCCAACCCATTGCATCGAGTTGATTCCAACACAGCCCCAACAGAGTACGAATGCTCCACAGAGTTTCTGAGGCTGTCAGTCATTACAGAAGCTGACTGCCTCATCTTTCTTCCACAAAGTGGCTGGTGGGTTCAAACTCTCAGACTTCCATTTAGAAGTCCATCAGGTGGCAAAACACTAAGGGAGTGCAACAGAACAGCAAGGGAATGGAGCGCGAGGTCCCCACGGTGGACTTTGGGGCCAGGGTGTGGTGCCCCAATAGACTGGACTAGAAAATACTCCTAAAGGCTAACAAACAGCCCTTGAACTAACTACATGCTTTTCTTTCATGTTGTGTTTTTGGGTTGTTTTTTTTTGTCACTGGTTTGTTGTTGTTTTGTTGTATATTGTTGCTCGGTTTTGCTCTGTCTTGTTTTTGTGCATGTTATTATCTCCACAGGTCAAATAAGATAGGCTGGATGAACAATCTGGCGGAGAAAATGGGACTGACAATTCCGGGGGACAAGGGAGAAGGGGAAGTCGGGGGAAAGGTAGTGGTGTTAACAAACCCAGGAACAAGGGAACAACAAGTGATCCAAATCGGTGATGAAGAGGGTGTAGGAAGCCTGGTAGGGCGTGATCAAAGGTAATGTAACCAAGAGGAATTACTGAAATCCAAATGAAGACTGAGCATGATAGTGGGACAAGAGGAAAGTCAAAGGAAATAGAGGAAAGAGCTAGGAGGCAAAGGGCATTTATAGAGGACTAAATAAAGGCATGTACATATGCAAATATATTTATATATGAGGATGGGGAAATAGATCTATGTGCATATGTTTATAGGTTTAGTATTAAGGTAGCAGAAGGACATTGGGCCTCCACTCAAGTACTCCCTCAATGCAAGAATACTTTCTTCTATTAAATTGGCATTCTATGGTGCTCACCTTCTGGACAAAACCACTGAAGACAAAGTGGATGAATAAGCAAATGTGAAGAAAGTTGATGGTGCCCGACTATCAAAAGATACAGCGTCTGGGATCTTAAAGGCTTGAAGATAAATAAGCAGTCATCTAGCTCAGAAGCAACAAAGCCCACATGGAAGAAGCACACCAGCCTGTGTGATCATGAGGTACCAAAGGGATCAGTTATCAGGCATCAAAGAACAGAAAAATCATACCATTGTGTGCTCACCTCCATGATACGACTGCTGAAGAAAAATGGGTGCATAAGCAAATGTGGCGAAGAAAGCTGATGGTGCCCGGCTATCAAAAGATATAGCATCTGGGGTCCTAAAGGCTTGAAGGTAAACAAGCGGCCATCTAGCTCAGAAGCAAAAAAGCCCATATGGAAGGAAGCACACCAGCCTGTGCGATCACGAGGAGGCGGAGGGATCAGGTATCAGGCATCATCAGAAGAAAAAGCTCATCATAGTGAATGGGGAGGGGGGGTGGAATACGGAGTGGAGACCCAAAGCCCATTTGTAGGCCACTGGACATCCCCTTACAGAAGGGTCTTGGGGAGGAAATGAGCCAGTCAGGGTGTGATGCAGCAATGATGAAACATACAACTTTCCTCTAGTTCCTAAATGCTCCCCTCTGCCCCCCCAATATCATGATCCCAGTTCTAACTTACAAATCTGGCTACACCAGAGGATGTTCACTGGTACAGATAGGAACTGGAAACACAGGGAGTCCAGGGCGGATAGGAACTGGAAACACAGGGAATCCAGGTCCCTTCAGGACCAGTGGTGTGAGTGGCGATACTGGGAGGGTAAAGGGAGGGTGGGTTGGAAAGGGTGAACCAATTACAAGGATCTACATGTGACCTCCTCCCTGGGGGACGGACAACAGAAAAGTGGGGTAAGGGAGATGTTGGACAGGGCAAGATATGAGTTCATGAGGAAGGGCGGAACAGGGAGGGAATGGTAAAAATGAGGAGCTGATGCCAGGGGCTTAAGTGGAGAGCAAATGTTTTGACAATGATGAGGACAAATGAATGTACAAATGTGCTTTACATAATTGATTTATGGATGGATTGTGATTAAGAGTTTTATGAGCCCGTAATAAAATGATTAAAAAAAAACAAGTCCATCAGGTCCCATTGGAAAGATGTTAACTTATCTTCCAGTTACATGCTATTAAGAATTTAGCTTAATTATAAAAGCTGAGGACATACCGACCTCTGAATTCAAAGCCCACCTTTTATTCCCTAAATCTGAATTGACTTTTCAAAACTGAGATTTAGAACATGTTTTCTAGAACATTTAGCAACTGCCTAATCCTCAGGGAAAAAGTAAAAAATAAATAAATATAAGGCAAATTCTAAGATTCTTCGCCAGCTAAACAGAGTAAGGCACATCAAAAGTTGTACAAATTAAGAACTTGGTTTTTCCTTAGCACTGTGAGGGACAACACTGGAATAGTGCACAATCTGACCCCATCATGATGGGGTGAAACACTAAGGACAAGCGACAGAGTAGCAAGGGGAGCAAAGTGATGAAATTCCCAGGGAATATAAAAAATAGACTTTGGAGACAGAGTGTGGCACCCCATCAGACTCGACTGGAAAACACAAAGGCCAACAGACCTTGAACTATTTATATGCTTTTTCCATTTTTGTCAGTGGCTTTCTTTTTGTTATTTTTATTTTGTTTTTATTGTTTTATTGGTTTTGACTTTCTTTGTTTTATTTGGCTTTGCCTTGGTTTTTTTGCACTTAGTAATGTATCTGCATGTCTATTTAGATAAGATAGGCTGGATAAATAATTTGGAGGTGAAAAGAATGGGACCAATAGTTCTGGGGGCGTACAGGAGAAGAGGAGGTGGAAAAAGGAAGAGGTGGGGGGGGGGGAACCAACCCAGGGACAGGGGAACAACAAGTGAACTAAAATCAATGGAGAGAAGAGCATAGAATGCCTAGTGGGGCTTAATCAAGGGCAATGTAGCAGCAAGGAATTACTAAACTCGAATGAAGGTCAAACATGATGGTGGGACAAGAGGAAAGTAAAAGGAAATAGAGGAAAGAATCAGGAGGCAAAGG